ACGATAGATGGCTTTAGCAGAGAGCAGAGAGATCAAAGGACCCTGTTTAACTAGAAGATGATCCCTGTCCCTAACTAATTTGAGTAAAAAGAAAATCCATTTTACATTAAATGGTCTATTTTGAAAGAACATCTAGCTGACCCTATTAATACAGAAAACATCTTCCTATTCCAGTACTTTGGGGGACAATATGAGTAACGCTGAACTGAAGTCTGTAATATCATCAGCGTACCCATATCAGATTAGCTACATGATAGCAACATGTAGAAAGTTCAGAATAAGGGTGTTGGAAACTGGTCTCATCTGAATTGGCTTTGTGACATAAACTAAAACATAACGCTTCACCAAGATGTTCACAGTGTGATGTCCAATTATCTGGGATTATAATTTCCAAAACAAGAAAATGCAATTAAGGGGGAACATGCAACTGCTGAAAGAAACTACAAATTTCACTGAATGCAAACAAAAAGGGGAAATACTCTGGAGTTGGGAATGATTTTAACCTCATGAAACCCCCATTTTCACACCAGAAACATTAACTGGAGAATATTCAGCATAGCACTAATTCATATTATTCATAACAAAGAGATTTCCAGAATGGGTTGGACCAGAAAGCACATTGTAAGTAACTTAGTCAGAAACAGAAGATACTATGCAGAAACATGAAATACTTTATGGGCATGATTATATATTTATCCCTGTTAAAAGATCCCATGCAGAGAGAAAGCTTGTGCATTCTTCTTAATGTGCAAGGTTTCTAAAAAGCATGCAGCCAGCATGCACAGACTGAACCTGCACATCCAGCATCATTTCAGCATTTAGAATGGTGCTACAACACGACTAGCCACATCTGTCAAGGGAAAGTTGCACATCTAGTGTCCTACACATCACAGATGTCAAACCATTTCCACCCCAAGGCCCATTTCCATTCTGGAGAATCTGTCACGGATGCATACCAAATCCCGACTGTGCACAGGGCTGAAGGCAAAAGAGGTGGGAACCAAATACTAAGAATGCTAATAATATCCCGGGATATTTTAACTCAACCTACCTCACAGGGTTGTTGTTGCGGGGATAAGATGGAGGAGGAGACGTAAGCTGCCTTGAGCCCTTTGTAGGAAAAAGGCAGGATATAAATCGAAAAATAAATAAATAAAATGCTATCTTGCCAGCAATTGTGAACCTCAAGAGGGGCAGCGCAACCTTTCAGAAGAGGGCTGTGCAGAATGGCACAAAAGCCAGGAACCTGCAAAGCAGCCAGTGACTGGGCAGAAGGGGCATGGCCATCCCTGGAGCCCCGGAAAGGCAAGCAAGGCTCTCAGCTATGCTGCATTTGGCCCCTGAGACCCTGCACCTCTGCGGTACATCGCACACGTCATGACTCAGCAGTGCCAGCATCCAAGGCCCTGGGCCAGCACTTTCCACCTGAACGGATGGGTACCAGTCAGTGCAAAGAGGGAGGAAAGTCAAGTCAGCACTCCACTGCTGGGAGGGTAAACCCACTGCCAACAGAAGGAGCTTCTTCCTTCCCTCTCATATGCTACTCCTCAAAGGATGGGATCTTTCCTGGAAATGTAAAAACTGGGAATGTTGTGCACGCGTGCACACACACGCACACTGAGAGAGAGAGAGAGAGAGAGAGAGAGAGAGAGAGAGAGAGAGAGAGAGAAATATATGTTCTTTGACCATAGCACACCACTGAGAACTCATCATTTCCAGGCTTAGTGGGGCCCAAAGGCCTTCTCCACACGACACGACCCACTACATCTCACAGAACGAACAGCACTAATGGCATTTCTAATCTTGCATAACCTACTTGTATTTTTAATTATTAATACAACTCTACTGAATTTAGGGAGAAAGGAATAACTGTCCTTCAGGGGACAATATTCCAGTCACTAACCCCCATATCAATAATTGTGGTGAAAGATTATATCGAGCATGCTTTCATTATTGGGCTCTTTCTCTATAAATTTGATTGAATCTAATTAAAAATTATTGGCTGCAATCTCTTTCTTACATACACTCATTCACTTTGGGTCTCTCACACTCAAAGTCTTTCTAAATACAAGGAAATTAAGATGTGAATCTTCCTTCTGGCCAGTTGTAAAAAGCCCTGAAAGCTTCAGAGATTCTAAATGATATTACAATTTCATGGCATTTGTTCACATTCTATTTCTCAATGCGGCACACTGAGGACCATCATAAGGAGAACTGGAGCTGGCACAGTGCATATACTGATTTAAACCTCTGCCTCCAAAGGAACCACTGAGCAGCTTCCAATATTAATTTTTAAAAGTATCAGTAATTCCCTTGTTATCAGTTCTGGGGAATTCTGGGAACTGTAGGACTTTTTTTGTAGGACTGCGCCCTGGGAAGCTAAGGAGTAAATCAGGAAGCCTCCAGTTCAAATCTACTTCTCCTGTGAACTCACCGGTGGTCACAGGTGCTGTGGTCACTTGTCAGCCTCGCTTTTGTCCCCACCCCACACAGAGAGCACAGGGCTTGGATTTGGATCTGCCTTTCCATTTCATTCATGGGAAGGACTCCAACCCAAGACAGAATCCCCTGCTGGAAGAGGGAGGGAGGCAACATTTAACAACCTGCCTTCTTGCCTGCAGACCCCAGGCTCATCTCTAAGGCTGCTCCAAAGGGTCCAGGGCAGAGTTTCATAGACTGGATGGCACTGTAGGGGAGACATGGGAACTGGAACTAGGCTCCTGCCAACAAGAACAAGATGCAGAGGGCAGGCCAGCCTCTTCCTCATTGCTGGCCATGCAGCGGGAGTCATGGTATGGAATGGGCTTCCATGGGAGGTGGTTGCGGCCCTATTGGTGAGGATGTTCAAGGACAGGCTGAACATGCACATGGTAGGCATGTCGTGAGCGGAGCCGGCTGGAGCTGGGGGTCAGCCTAGATGGTCCAGGAGGTCCCTTCTGACTCGCTCAGTTTCTTTGTCATTGTGGGGTTCTGACATGGAGACGGAGGGGCAGTTGCAAGGGTGGCTGAACCTCCTGAGATGCCTTCAAGATGGCATAGTGAAGTTTCTCACACTGAGAGTGAGAGTTTTGGAAGAGACAGAAGGTTTTCGGGAGGGGAGGAACAGCTGATGCTGGACCCAGTTCTTGGCCCAGTGAGGAGGTGGTGGGAGAGATGAGCTGCTCAGCTGGAGGGGGCTTGTTGCTCTTGCCGGCTTCCTCTACACTCCTGAGGGTGGAGGCAGCAGCCCAGGTGGAGGTGGGGAGCTGCAGGGAATCTTCCAGTTTGGATTCTACTCCTTCCAGCTTTAGTTTAAGCCTACCTAGACTTAAACTGTTCTGTCAACTGTGCAGTTTCAATAAAAGAGCTGCATTTCAGAGGGCTGTCTTGAGTTTTTGGGAGGAACTAGCCCACAACACAGTACATGCATGTAGCTGCTCTAAGGATTCACAAACTTAGTCAGTGCCTGACCCTGCAGGATGGTTGTAAGGATTACAGCTGCACAGAGCACGTGAAGCATACTGAAGGCTTGGAAGCACCGTACAGATGTGAATGGTGAAGTGCATGGCATGCCCGCCTTCCTGATTTCAGCCAGAATCCTTGTGCACTAGACCCTAATGTGGTATTTCCCAGAGTGGCGGTGATAGATGAGTGCTTCCCAGGGGGTGCTGGATTGCAGCCACCCTCCCTCCACAGAGAAGCAATGTGCCGATGATGTTGCAGGATGATGTACTATGTCATTTTCAGGGACCGTCTGGAGGAAAGATGCACTTAGCCCTCACATGACATGAACCCTAAACTGAACCATTTTCACTTGCCTTCTTTTTTCCTATCATTACAGAAATGTTTATTGCATTTGTTTAAGCTCCTTGTCCATTTTCACCTTCCCCCATCTCCCCAGAGCTGGCTTGCATAGCAATGTCAAGTTGAAATTTCCTGAACCAGTTTTTGCTGGATCTTTCCTAGCAGCTTCATGCTTCTTTGGGAAGTTCAGAACTGAATGTCACAGCAATATGGGTAGTAAGCAATAAGACAGCAATAAGATGATGATATGTTTATGTAGCCCATAATAGCCAAGATTTTTTTTTTACCCACATACTTGTTATGTTTTCTCCTTGCTTTCTCTTTCTACTTGGAGTGAAAGGAGAAAGACATGTGTTCTACTTAACCACTGCTTTCTCCCAGTTTTAAACTTGAAATAAAAAATTAAGATGGTATGTCATGGCAGTAAAAAACCCTTGATCCAATGAAATATCATGGCAGTAATTAAAGATTAGATCCAGCTGCTTTTTTCCCTTCTCAAATGACCAGAAAGAAAACAACTGTATTGATATCCCACAGCACAGAGCTACTAATGCTTTCTGTCATTCATTCAGAACCTCTCCCAAAAACATTGATTATGATGGGCTTTGAATCAAACAATGAACTTTATGCAGTTCGTAATGGTTGTTTGGAGGGAAAGTCTATATAATTGATTGATTTTTCCACTTGTAGGAACCCAAAGTGCCAGTGACCCTCAGGGGAACAGACCAGGACAACGGCACGAAGGCAGAAAGCATCGAATGCAGGTGGTAACTAAGACTGAGTTTCTGCCTTGGCTCTTCCAATTATTTCACTGGGGCTGGCAAGGCAGAATCAAAGCCCCACAGGAATGATAGCTTCTAATCAAGCGACAATGAAAGAATCCTTACCCAGAATAAGCAGTCAGAAAGATCCAGTACAATCTCTTAAAATTTGATTTACTAATGCTTCCTTTTTGCCAATACTTCCACTGCCGATATTTAATTGATAAGCATTTAAATTAGCTACACTGAAACTTTCTGGGGTCTTGGAGTTAAAAAGCATACACATATACCTTTAAAAAACCCCTGTGCTCTTCCAAACACTTTATAGAAAGCATTTCCTGAAGAAGTGAGATAAGCCCAGTTGAGTTGAGAATATGCCTACAACTCCCAATACACAGGAAGTCTAGCTTCTCCGGTCAAGGCTAACTGGCCTTACATAAATATGTATTACAATACCTTTCAGTTTCCTGGTTGGTAGGTTGCTGTTTATTGTTCTCAAAGGCTGTAAAACTGCTCATATCCACATAGCCGTCATTCTCATTTGCGGCAGATAATGCCCTGCTAGGATCTTCAAAAAATTCAGTAAAGGTTCCTGCCCTGGTGGGCCTTCGTGGGGGAATTTGTATGTTTTCATAATCAGAGCTCATTGCTGGGATGTTCTCATAGTCAGAAGTATCAGCATTAGGAAAAGAAATAGACCTAGGCTTAGTTAGAGGGAGGGGCATGAAAGGAGGTCTTGAACGATCCTCAAAGGATTCCACCCGTGACACACTTCTGCTAAATGTTTTGGGTGTCCCTCTTCTCTTGCCGTCCTTGTAGAAGAGAACAGTTGGAGATTCAGAAGCCCTCAGCTTGCCAGTCCGTGATACTAGCTGAGGAGAACTACTCAAGCTCCTTCTGTCAAGCTCCATAACACGGGATGGTCCATGATAGCTAGATTCTGAGGAGGACCTTGAAGAAGAAACATGAACATCTACATGGACTTTATTTTCTGTCTTCTTCTTGAACTTTAAAGTGAGGAACTTTTTAAAAGATGACTTCTTTTTCTTACAGTACTTATCGGTAGAGTCACTCTCGGTTAAAAGTGACGGTGAACTTTTTGTGATGGGCTTTTTGGTGATACAGGCAAGTTCAAAAGGAGGTGGAATGTCAACAACAGAGGATGGGGTGGAGACCCCACTAGAAGGAAGGTGATTTCTCTGGGAAAAGCTACCTGAGGAACCAATTACACATGGCAAAGAGAGGTCTTCTGTCCTGTTTATTCTATTGTAATCCAATATAGAAGTTTCAGTATAGAGAGAGACAGGGATATCTCTGCCTTCTACAGAATAAGATCGAGGATATAAAACAAAGCGCCTTGGCTTTGCAGGCAATGCTCTGTTTAGTTCCACGGGCTTTCCTTCGGACAGAGAGAACTTATGGCTTCCGTCATCAGTCATGGCGGAGGTTGTACTTAATGGCTGCAGTTCGGTGTCTGGGCCTGTTTCTTCTGGAACTGTTTCCGGTACATAGCCAGGAACTTTCCCAGAGAGGGACCTTGTTCTAGTAACAATGCTTTTCCGATCAATGGAGAGTAAATGGCTTTCACTATCCATACTCCCTCCCTCTCCAAAATCACTTGAATTACCTTGAACATCAGCCTCCCCCATTTCTTTCACAGCACAAAGGGATTCGTTGGCTGAAGGCAAGCTATCTCCCAATACATAGGGGTCATCTAGGGTGTCACTGGCTACATCATCATTGTCAGGAACAATCATCACACCAGGGGCCACTGAAGCTTCTTCAATCACGTATTCACTGCTCGAGTTTGTGTCCATTTTGCCATGGTGGCATTTGTTCAGTTCCCCACTGGAGGATATGGTCTCTTCACCTGATGTTTCACTGGTTGCATCTTGAGCAGTTTCTTCCCCACCACTGTGATCCATCTCAAGTGTTTGGCTATCTGACTCTTGGTCTTCCAAAGCATATTGATTTGCATTGTGATCTCCAGGTAAAGCATCTGGCTCAGATCCTTCTTTCAGCTGTGAATCAGATTCGACGTCTGGAAGACTAAAGGGTTGGTTATCATTAGACGTTTCAGTCCCTTCTGAGGGCAAACTTTCACCTAAATCTTCTTTGGGAGAATCAGGAGCACCCTCACTGCACTCTTTCTCAAATGGAATGATCTGGCAATTATCATCCATGGTTTCTGTGTTTACTACTTCATGTTGTTCTTCAGAGTCTTCCCTTGTATCACACACTGGCTCTGATGTTTCCTCTACAGTCTTCACCTCAGTGATTTGGTCCCTATCCTCTGTATTGTCTTCTGGGTCTTCCGGGTCTATACTTGTTTCACATTCAGCATGTGAGTCTATTTCTTCCTCCTTTTCAGCATCAACTTCATTTGTGATCTCTCTCAAAGTCCCTTTAGTATCAGGATCAGTTCCACTGATATCCAAGTCAGTTTCTACTTCTTCAGAATCACCAGCAAGTTGATCATCAGGACTTGTGCAAACATCTTCTGCTAGCTCTGTCTCTATATTCAAAGCTGATTCATCTTCATTATTATGTGCTGGACCCATTTCTGCGTCAGCAGAATGGAGCTGCTCCTCCTCTAACATCTGAGGTGGAATCTCTTCTCCTGGACCCTCACAAACTGATGGCAGATCCTCTGAAGTTGGAAGTGGCTCCTCTAAATGTCTTAAAATAATATCCTCACATAAAGTGTATTTCAAAGCTTCATCACCATTCAAAATCTTAGTGTCCATATTATACTCATTATTATCCTTTACCAGATCCAGCTCTTTGAGTGTTTCATCACCCTCATCTGCACAGTTCAGTGTGGTCTCACTGGGATCAGTTTCACCGTCTACATTTTCATATCCATCCTTTGCAGCATCCTCCTCTCCCTCCTCAGGTGCACTGGGGCGACCAAAGGCTTGGATTGTGGTTGATTCAGTGGAGTGCTCTTCATGGTTCTCTGATACACTTATTTCAAGACCACAGATCTCACTGTTATTTTCCTCCTCAACTGCTGCTTCAGGGGTGTGAAGGACTTCATGCTCCACTGGTCCCTGTTCATGCTCAGAGTCATTATCAGTCAGCTCAGCTTTAGGGATTACAATATAGTCACCACCAGCTTCTGATTCTGGGCACTCAGCATTGTTGCACTGATTCCCTTCATAAAGCTCTTCCTCCAGTTTTCCATTGGTACATTTGTTGAAGGTATTATTGGCATAAACACTGGATCTCTGTATAATTGCTGGGTCGGTGTCAGCAGAGATCTTTGGCTTGGGAGCAATGGGTGGTTTGGGACCCCTAGACATAGGGTTTGAATGGTGAAGTGTGCCAGCCCTTGACAGCGATGGAGGAAATTTTGAAGCTGCTATGGAAGCAAGATGACTGAGAATCTTTGGTTTTGGTGCTAGTGGTGGTTTTGTAAGATCTGGAAAAGGAAGAACAGAAAACACTTTATTAACTTCTAGGCTACTTCAAGAAATCTTGGGTTACTGGTAAACTAGTTACAATGTGGGGATGCAAAAGTAGATGAAATGGCATCTTTAACTGCATCTCCTTAGAGTCTGTAGGACAGCTTTTCCCCAGCATGGTACCCTCCAGATGCATTAGTCTCTTATTATGTTCTTTTCCCATCCAACTGAATGCAGACCCTCAGCCATAAATGGCAAGCTATCAACTACTTCCTCCAGCCCATTGTTACAACACTGGGAAGCAAAACAAAGTTATCAAGTTCCTGGTCCACCATTATGCATAGCAATAAATAAAAATCACCACCCAGAGAGCCTGTCCTGGTTAATAGGTGGCATAGAAATTAAATAAATAAATAAAATTGAGGTGCTTCCTCTGCTGTGTGACAAAACAGGCGGTCCTGGACGTTTCAGAAAATTCTGAGACCACAACATTCTAGGAATATATTTATTTATTTAGAGAACTTCTATGCCGCCCCATTCACCGAAGCCTCGGGGCGGCTCACAATCATAAATAAATAACATAGTATAAAACAGTATACTATATTATACATAGTATATACATGCTTGGATAAATGAGTAACTATGGAATTAAAATCATGACAAACTCCCTGTATTGCATTGCATTCCTAACTGAGGCTCTGTACATACTGTGACAGGTGAGACAGAGATACAATGAGATTACTCCAGTTTGCTTGCTTGTTTTGACAAGCTATTCTGAATAAGCAAAACACAAATATTTTATTATCAGGTGGTGAATCATTCAGTCCTCAGAATCACAGATTCAGAAGGAACCTTGGAGGTCGGATAGTCCAATGTGCTACTCCATGCAGATTCTGTAATGCAGGGTACAATGGAAGCATCCCTGAGTGACGGCAACCCAGTCTCTGCATAAATAGAGAAAAAGAGGTGTGTACGACCTCCCAAATCAGTGTGTTCTGCTGTCCAGCAGCACCTACCATTACGCCAGTGACCAAAGTTTAGCAAAGATCACTTCCTTGTTATTTCCACCCATTAAGCCAATGAAGAACAAGTCTTCTTCATGGCATGGCAGACCTTCAAAAATTTGAAGATAGCTGTCATATCTTCAGTCAAATAGTATGAAACATATACAAAAGTATGATTCGCATCAGTCAAATGATAAACAAATAAAATCCAATCAAATGTGAGCATAATCCAGTCCAGTTTTACCCCTTGTGAATTTTCAATGGGGAAAGGTAAGCATGTGCTTTCCCACTGAAATCTATGGGACTTAAACATGCTTGAATCAAGCTCTTTACAGCGGTCACATTTGTAATCACAAGGTGAGGAACTGTGACTGGTGTCAACCCAACTTCACTTTTCCCAAATAATTGTTTTGCTTGTTCTGAAGAACTCTAAAGGGCAAGGCTCTTTGGCAAGCCACTTTCTTTTGTTTTAAAGCACTGTTAGTCGCAAAAAGTTAATGATGGATGGTCTTGGCGGCTACTGGCTCTGTTTTAGTCACAGAAGAGGCGGGAATAGTCGCTTTCTTTGTCACACCCTAGATCAGGATATCACAACAAGACTTGTTTGCTTTCTGCCAGCGTGAGATATACAGGAGAATTCCTGCTGTCTCTGAACCTTGTTTATTATCCCAAATTGCAATTTGGTGTGTGCATTTCCCGTACATTGCTGTAGGTCTGCATAAACAAGAATCCAGTTTATCTTGAGTTTTGATTATTCAAACAGACTTCAGAGTGTGTTGCTAAATTCTTTCACCCTGCTTTCAGCTACTTCTGCCCCCTAGAGCAACTGTTTTTTATACCTGGGGTGGAGGGGAGCAGGAATTGAATAAGGGCACAATCTTATGCATATCTGGCCAGAAAAATGTCCTGCAACTGTCCACATTCCTTTTACTGCTAAACATGAATAGATCACAAACTAAGTAATCTGCCCCAAATAGCCTGACATTCTGTGTTACCTTTCTGAGGCTAATGATTCTCTGTCATGAGCAATCTAAGCATTCTGTAAACACTACAGAGGAGAAAGAAAGTGTTGTTAGATGAGTCCCCACAAAGCTATTCCTAAGAAGGTAACAATTTATCTGCAGGATTAACCAAAGATCCATGCAATCCTGCATTTTTTTCATTTCACCACTAGCCAAGCAGATGACTCTAGCAAGCTCAAAAACAATGCAGGAAAGCTGCAGCTTCCCTTGTCCCCCATCTTCATCTTGGTGCACCCCTTCCAGGTTTTCCTCCTCCTCCTTCCTCCATGCAATTCAATGTAAGCAAGCGTGGGATCTGAGCTAGCAGTGACTAAGCGAGAAAGGGCTCTCGGGGTAACAGTGGACAGCTCAATGAAAATGTTGGCCCAGTGTGCAGCCGCTGTGAAAAAAAGGCAAACTCTATGCTGAGCATAATTAGGAGTGGTCCGTAAATAGAACTGCTGAGATCTTATTCCCCTTCTGCAAATCCTTGGTGTGACCACACTTAGAATATTGTTTTTAGTTCTGGTCTCCTCACCTGAATAAGGACATTACTGAGCTCAAATAAGTAAAGAGAGGGCCAATTAAAATGATCCGGCGGGGGCAGGGCAACTCCCCAGTGAGGAGTGGCTACAACAGCAGGGACTATTTAGCTTAGACAAAAGGCAAGTAAGGGGAGACATGATAGAATTAAAATTATGCATGGTGCGGAGAAAGTAGAGAGGGAGGCACTTTTATCTTTCCCCCACAACACTCCCATGGAGCTCATTGGTGGGAGGCTTAGGGCAGGTAAAAGGAAGCATTTTTTCACATGACATACAACTGAACCATGGAATTCACTGCTATGGGAAGTGGTGATGGCCACCGATTTGGATGGCTTTAAAAGGGGACTGGGCAGATTCATGGTGGAAGAGCCTATCAGTGGCTACTTGCCTTGCTGGCTGGGTGCTTTACTGGAGATGGCATACCTGCACACGGCAGATGCTGAGGAACTTGTGCAGGAGGAGGTCTTGCCCCCATCCTGCTTGAGTGGTCCTGTGGTCTGCTGGTCTGCCACCATGTGTAAGGCGTGCTGGACTACATGTACCCTTAATCTGATCCAGCATGGCTCTTCCTGTGCTTGTGTGTGTGTGTGTTCTTCTCTTCTTTTCCTTTCCACAAAGGGTAGGGTCCAACTGTGCCCCAGCGTTAGTGCTATTGATGCTGCACTAACTTACATGGATGCTTGTGCAACGGAACTAGTGTTTGCTACACCAATGGCAAAATAAGGTGCTAAACTGTCAAATTTGGTGCCATTGCTTTCCCCCATTGCTCTAGTTCAGTGGTCCCCAACCTTCTGGGACATGGGAGCTGCATTAGAGTACCCAGTGCGGAAAGAGGGCCACATCTTAAACCTGTAGCAAAAATTATGAACCTACCAATTTAGATCAAAAGTCAATGAAGAAATGTTAACTTGAATGCAATCTATTTTGGAACAGTATTTTACTGTGGAATCCTTTTATCTAGCTATACATGGTTACCTAGTCTATGGCTGTTTTCTGTTAGCCAAGGCAGTAATGTCCAAGTCAAGGGTTGTGACAGACACCCTTCAAATGCCATATAAATGTTCAACTGTAAGTCTTGACCTTCACTTGAATTTCAAATTTTCATTTTGGGAAAAGTCTGTTTACGGATGTATGTGATGCCAAAGACAGTGAACATGCCTGTAGCAATTTTTTTTAGGTTGATAAACGTATCAGGTAGACCACAATAGAAATCAAACTGAGTATTTTCTTTGCCTGTGAGATGGTCACTGGTTTGCAAATCAATTAGTTCCATCTGAAAAAAGCTACTTGCATCTTCTGGTGCTACTTCGAATGGATTCTGAAACATTCTTATTTCCTTTCCATGCTTATGGCAATCAGTGAATCTGTTCTCAAATTCCACCTGCAATAGATTCGGTGTTTTGATGTGTCTTTCAACAGTGAAATACAAATTCCTGTCCTTTCCCAATTTTAGTTCTTTACAGCAGAAGTTTGAAAAGTTACTTTCTCTAACTTACTTCACAAAAATGTTTTGTACTGCTTCAAAAGCTTTTAATTCAGAATACATGCCACATACAAACTTTCCTTTCCCCTGCAACCTTGCATTCAATTTGTTCAGATACTCTACTTCTTGACCTTTTCTTTTCTCCTTGAGAAAGACATCAACTTCATGAAGACTGAAAAAATGTTTGGGGACTTTGCCTCTGCTAAGCCACCTGACTTCTGCATGGTACAATACCTCTCCATATTCTGCATCTACCTCTGAGAGAAAATTTTGAAACTGATAAGTGATGCCTGATGTAATTAATGCTGGATACAACAATATGCATCACACTTTCCCACTGAAGAATCCTACCACACAAGGCTTCACAAGGCTTGCTGATGGATGATGCAGTGAAACTGCATGGAAAGTGTACCATTTCATTTCTATCTCTCATCACTGATTCTTTCAACTACACCAGTTTTACTTCCCATCATATTTCTTGCACCATAAGTTGTCATGCCTTTCAATTTATCCCAAGTCAGACCAAGACTGTCTACTGATCCACACACCTCAAAGAATATGTCTTCTGCAGTTGTAGTGCCTTTCACACTCTGCAGTGCACACAAGTCTTCTGTAATTCTGAAGCTGGAATCTATCCCCCAGATCAATATCAATGGTTGAGCAGTGCCTATAATGTCATTGTTCTCATCAAATGCTAAAGGAAAAAAAAAAAACCCTAAACATTTTGCCTTGACAGTGAGTGATATTTGCAGCTCTTCTCCCAGTTCTACAACATGCCTGGTGATTGTAGATGCAGATAAACTGACTCAACTAACACAAGATACCTTATCAGAGCACATTTCCTCCATTACTTTTGCCATGCACTTCTTGACAAATTCACCCTCAGTGAAGGCCTAACATGCTCAGCACACATTTATTAACATGATAGCCAGCCCTCACAGTCAATATGCTTTCTAAACTATTTTGCTGCAAAAGCATGGATTT